TAGAATTAAAATTCGCATGAAAATAAATAAGATATTACTCTTATTATTATTAATAATAATTTTCTAATATTTTTTTAAAAAAATATTAAATTTATTATTTAAATTATATAATAAAACTACTATTTTATTTGAAAGCCAACACCATAGAAAATAGAAGGAAATTGAGCAGCTCTTTCTTCAAAATCCAAAGGAAATTGAAAGGCAAAAGCGTTGGGTTCGATTATCAAAATTCGAAGGCATATAGCTCTCTTCGTACGCTTCTTACGCAATTAGCTTCATTTTCTTCCACTGCCCAACTCATGTTGAATTTCTGGTAAAAAAATTTCTTCAGATTTACAGATTTTCATTTCCTTATTCAGTTATGAATCGGACGATCGTATTTTGTTGTGCTTTTTTTTTTTTTGTATTTTATTTGAAGTTTATATGACCTATGTCCTCTTTTGGTATAGATATCTGCAGTTTTTCGTTTTTTTTCTTCCTATTATTATATTTTTGTGCTAAATTTTGGTTAATTGTGAAGAATCTGTGCTAAATGAGTGATCCTGGAAGCATAAATTTAGGAACCATTACTTATGTTTTGAATTCCCTTTTTGCTATTCCATATTGTGTTATTTAGGCTTTTGAAGAAGTTGAAATCTATGTCCACTATCTGCCATAGGCAGTGTGGAGCCAGGAATTGAAGCTGGTCCATTTTAGTACTTTTGAGTTGCTGCGTTCTAAATTAATAGTTTATACATGTAATTGAATATTTTAAAACTACTGTAAGGGTTTTGAATCAAAACTACTAGATTTTGTCCGCTTCCTACACTCTAGCTCTGCCCTGGATCCAGGATTTGGATGTGGTTGTTTGAGTAGAGAGAGTGGGTTTCTGAAATGTATATCTAATTCTATCGTATTTGTTTCTGAAATATATATCTAATTATATCCGAACTACTGAACCCTTTGTTAGATTCACCAATGAGATCCATGTAATTTCATTTGGCAGTGTGATTATAGTTTATAGCATAGCTTGTTTATATGTAATGGTATCATGGCATGATGTATATCGTACTTAGAATGTACAGAATGAATTCGCTATTTTAGTTAGCTTAAGGATTTTGGCAAACAGACCTCAATCAATCAGTAATGCTCCTCAATCTAAAATTAGTTGGTTCAGCTATATGAGTTGTATACCTATTACCCTTATGCTTTGACATACATATTTCCTTGAACTTCTCTTTTCTACAGGGGTAACAAAGAGCAACGGGCTCAGTCAAGTCCTCAAGAAGCTAATAATGGTTCACGATATTCACCTTCTGTAGTCAGCTCACCAAGCTCTTCCCGCCCTGCAACCCCTAGTTCAAACTCTTCCGGCGGTTTTAATGCGCAGAGTCCAACAAACAGGCCAAGCTTTGTGTCCCAAGTTTCTCCTGCAGAGGCTGCTGACATCACTGCTGCTTTAAGAAACAAGAGGTAAATTTTAGTTCATATTTGTCAGCAATTACACCTATATAGAAAGGATCATTAGTTACATTGCGGCCTTTGTTTCTACCAGAATTAGATTCTGAACTCGCTGGGATTTGTAACAGAGATTCCATCTTTGTTTTGCTATATGGTTGTCAAGAGTGGTTTCATGTCACCATCATGAGATTCAACATAGATTTATGATTTTGATACATTTATGTGCATAAAACTCCTGAAAACTCTATAATATATCTAATGGTAGTGATACAATTACGTGATAGGGGTTTGCGAGCTATTGCATAGGAGCGGGGTTTTTACCCTGTGCGCACCCAAAGGGTAGCGGCTGCGGGTTTCCCTTGTCATAAAAAAAAAGAAGACAATTACGTGATAGGAATTAACCTTTTTGAATGTTGATGAGTTCTGCTTTCTTATCTTATGGAGCATTATGAAACACCAAATTGTGTAATGAACTGAAGTGCATACAGTAAAAAAATATACTGGATAGTACAAGTTTTGTCATTTGAAAGCAGAATTCTTGCAATAAATGCAAAGAGGGTGGCTTGTAGGAAACTGCCAATGAATTTTAATGAAGATAAAAGTTTTATATCTGAAATAGATACTCGTGGTTCGGTTCATAATCAGAGGTTTTCTGGTACATGAAAGAACATAAATATTTTCTTTTTTATCATTCGTATCCAAGGAAGCAATTAACGGCACCCTTTTAGGTACCATTCATGCATGTTTTGAGAATGATGAATAAGTTTTATCTTAAAATATGATTTCGACGCTATGAAGTGTCTTCTGCCTGCAACTGCTTCATGACTTTTTAGTTTAAAAAATAAATAAAAAGCTTCATGACTTGATCATCTGTTTCTGATTATCATTAAACAATCAAATGAAGAGCTTAGTCTTTTTCATCATTCTTCTTTTCGTAATTTGTTTCTGATTTTCAATATGCTTTCTTGTTAAATTGTTCAGTGTTAATGAGCTAAAGAAGCTTGTTTCTGACAAGGATGCTCGTCACAACTTCTTACTTTCACTTGAGGCTGTTAAGACTCAGAATAATGTAAGTAATAAAATTACTTGTTTCGTTCTGCTCTGCCTGTCTTGCCATACCTCGTTTCCTTTTATAGTCGAACATACACTGGATTTATTTTTTCCTCATTTTGTTCAAATATGATATTATGCTCCACCAAATTATACATGTCGCAAATTGAATGAATGGTCGAGTGAGATTCTGTTTCTAGTAGTAAGGGAGGAATCAAATTCTACACGGGGGATGACTGGATTTAGTTGTTCCGTCTGTGTGAGGTTCTGCATTCATGATGTTATAATGTATTTAGTCCTTTCAAGTGGGTTACAATCTCATGAGACTTGTGCATTACAATGCACAAGTCTCATGAGATCATACAGTTCAAAGTTAATAATACTTGCATGTTTGGATTTGGTTGGCCTTGTTCTTGCTTCCTTTCTTCCTTGCCAAAATGAACTTGAATAATCTTTCTACCTCCTGTGTGCTCTAATCTTCTTCTTTCACAATGTATGTGACAAATTGTGTATCCTCATGTCTTGTGCATGTTAGCAAGGTAATTTCAATGCGAGAACACAACTTTGATCCATTATAATCACCTTGATGTAATATTTTGTTGTAACAGGCTCACTTTCTATGTTAATTTCTATGGTAGCATCTTACTCTTGCTGTTTTCCCCATATCTGATCAGGTCAGGGATGAGCTTCGGAATGCAACTCTGCAGCTTGCTAGTAAGTTTTGGGTTGCTTATTGCCTTATTATAGGTAGTGATATATTAACTAGCATCTGCAGATAGATTTTGAACAAAATCCTTATGCAGGGGAGAATTTAGAAAAAGAACCCTGGATAATGGAGCTGAGAAATCAGGTTAGATACTTCACATTGCTTCTAAGGTATTTACTTATTTGTAAAAGCATTTGTAATATTTTTTCATCAAAGCACTGACTTGGGAATTTTTTTTCCGGTGCACCCTCCTTTATTGTTCAGTGTAGAATCATCCGCACAACTGAATTGGCTGCTGCTCAAGAAAAGATGCATGAGCTGGAAAGGAGAAAAGAAGAGCTTCTAAAGTCGTACTCTCCTGTATCGCTTCTCCATCAGCTACAAGGTAAACAGTGGAAGCACATAAAGCTTGTATACTTTTTTCTTTTCCTTATGATCGTTTGTTATTCTTTTAACATCGGGTAAAGTAATTTGAAGTACAATTACGGATCAATATGACAATAGGAGACTTCTTACTATGTCACCAATGCATAATAACAGCTTTTCATAATGCTCAACTTACCTTTTGAAGTGCAATCTTCACTGGTGTCCTCTTGATCTACTTTGACAAATATGCTTATTTTCCTCGAACTTAGTGAAAAACATTAGTCTCTTTCAAGTTTCAACCATTTTCACTCTGCTCCACTGTTCAATTTCCTTTCTGGATTAGGACACTCTATACCACTTTTCATTATGTCCCAATGAAAAAGTTCCATCCATTTGAATGTTATCATCAGATTTTGCACAAGTCTTCTACTTGTCTTTTAAGCGTGAATCTAATTCTATCCACTCTTAATTAAGGAGCTAGTGCAGAAACTCCATGTAATGAGACAATTATGTGTAATAGGAAATTTTAACTTAAATAGCTTTGTGCTCAATTTTGTCACATTGTTACTCTCTCTATGATGGTGTTATTAAGTTAATAGCTTTAAGAAAGATTTTCCAATTTGAAGTATCTACCATATGCTACTTCCTTCCTACAACAGTTCCTAAATGATTATTTGATAAATCTGAGACTCTGGTTGCTTAGTGATCAGAACATTCTTTTTTCGTTTTTGGTAGAAGTTGTGAGATACCAAATTGAAGTGCCCTTAGAATATTGAATGGATGGCTAACACATCGATACTTTCTTGCTTATGGGATTAGATAACTGAAGTAATTAGACCTGCCAGTAAAAGAATTAACAGTTAACTGTCTATTGATATTTGATACAGATGCTATGAAGAAAACGGAGGAGGAATCTGAAGCCCTTCTTGGCCAGCTCCTTGATCAAGAAATTGATCTTACAACATTCGTGCAGAAGTACAAAAAACTGCAATGCAGTTACCACAAGCGTGCCCTCACACATCTTGCTGCTAAGGCATCTTTAGGCAACCATAGTTAGCTATAAACTACCCATTACACCTCTCTAAACTGATTAAGAAACATCTCGTGAAGACGCTTAGTGTAAATGTACCATCATGAACTACAGTAGTCCCAATTGCTTCCTCATTTTCATTTTCTTAGGTCTTCCGCAAAATATAAATATAGATTGTGGGAGATTGCTTATTTCATTTGATTTTATGTCGATCTTATCTTTACTCGTAACACCTGCAGTTACCATTGTGCATACGTATGGTTAATTTATGAACTCATGTTTGATTATACCTTCTGTTTGATGTGATCATTTCTCCTCTCCCTATACCTTGCTATAGCCACAAATCTATTTTAACATGCACATATCTGTGGTAAATCTATATTTTTAAACCTGTACATTTTTGCTTAGAGTCATATATGTTGGGGCCTTTAAAACACCAACTTTGCTCCCATACGACTCCGACACCCTCACCCACTAATTATAAATATTTGGGTCTTCGATACAAGAAAATATTAAAAACTTGGATCAAACTTATAATAGAGAGTCAAGAGACTGAGAAACGCAAATTCCCGAAATACTGGACTAGGAACGACGAAAACAAGAAGCAAGAACACAAGGAACCCCCCGCGCATACAGAAGTTTCCACTTTCATGTGATAAACTACACCAGAAATGAGACCTGCAAAATGTTCAGCTCCCTGTACTTTCTTCTTTCAGTCGGTCCATTTCCTTCTCCCACTTGAGTCCAATCATTTGGCGGCCAAAAGGGACAATAAGGTTGTATCGGAAAACCTGAAGCCAAGACACATATTTAGCTTGACTAAGTTTTGACAGCAGTTTCCTAGTTCAGCCATCTTGCTAGCAGAGCATATAATACTAATATATCATCAAATACGGAGAATTGAGATGCATGTATATATGCACACAGAAAACATGGGACATACTTTGACAATAATTATGTTGCAAAACAGTAGCAGTTCACAATACACGGAATAGGAAAAGAAACAGAACTGAATAGATGATTTGAAAAGTAAATCAGTTCCTTGCTCTGCTCACCTTGTTATTGATGTCACATATCTGCAGCTTTAGAGACTCGGATGCCTCGATCCATTCAGAATCATCGACAGAGCCTCGGTGTGTCCATGCCCTTTCAAGTGCTGATCTCCACTCAACTACTCTATTTCTTATCTCTTTGTTCAATTCAACCCACTCAGGTGCACATTTATTTCTGGAGAGAATCCTATACAAGGTATCTTCAGCTGGATCAGCATGAGGATTAGTATTGAGGTCCAACGGTTTTCCCTTCCCTGGTAAGTTCTCAAATTGCCCTTCTTCCATGGAATGCCATATTCGTTGTTCAACAACATTGATGATGTCAGTTTCTGACCTGATCAATATTCCATGCAAGATTAGAAACCAGCATTCCAAAAGAATTAGAAAAAAAAAACTCTAAGATTGTGTTTGTAACATCCAGGATAAATCAGAATCCTACTATTTGCAATTGGTCCAGCCAAACACAGCTATAGAGACTACGTGAAAGCTAGAGAATTATGCAACACACATGCATGAATTCAAAGAACACTCTTCTGACTTTTTACCGTTACAATTTTAGTTTTATACCGTGCTCCATTCATTTACAGAAAAAACCAAAGGTGGCATTAAGACAACCAGTACAAAATCTTGCTCTGCTAACAATTAGAGGTGAAGTTCTCTAAAGAGGTACTTAGTCAAATGAAAAATAAAGATAGCCATCACATATCATCAAATTCAATCTCAAATCACCCACTCAAAAGCAACAACAATTTTAACTGCTCTGTCAATAATCAAAGAACTTCAAGTGACTTGGACTTGAGAGGAAACTACACTTAGACACCGAAAATTATACCAATGGTAGATCTTGTACACCTAAAGCGGTAAGTGGTAACAACATAGCAATTGAAAGCCTAAACTACAGTGAACCTACTACTATATAACCCAAATTACACAGAAAAAACACTTCCAGATTCATGACACACTCGCACTCTGGATATATGTCATAACCTAAGTATTTGTGATACAGAAACATCAAACTAAGTGCCCAGTAGTTTCAATGTGCATTGGTGCAACATAATTACAAACGATGCATGCTGTGTTGATTCAGACACAAACTCCAACAATTAGTTCTTTTGAGTATGCAAGATATGGAATATTTCTTCTCGGACACTTGTGAGATTAGCAGATCACACTCAAAGAGTCTTACCAATCTCACTTTATCGTTTATACATAGATTACTTCAATAGATAAAGCTCACAATTCATTATCCAATACAGAAACCAGTTTACTATAGATAGGCCTTTTAACCGTACAGTCTATCAAACGAAACTGATATTTTCATTGGCATCACATTTTCATCAAGTTGAGCTGAATTAGGAACAAAATATTCCAAATACATTGTGAATTAAGCACAGCTCGGAATATGGAATCTATTGAGCCAAGTACATAATCAAGGCAATAAACATCACTGCAGTTTTTTGCAGTAATTTGAGCAAACAATTAACACCTTATCCCAGCAGCTGAATCAACACATCATATCATTTTCTCAAATCTTCAGCTTGGGCTACCTAGCTATAATACCTTATAAGTTTAAAACATCAAGCAGTAAAAAAATAAATTCTAACGATCATCATACAAGGAGCTCGTAGAAATGAACATTGTTTTTTGTCATTTTTCTAAGTAGAATATGTGAGCATATCAGAAATTACCTAACGGCGTCACGTTGACCTCGAAGTTCCGGCGGAAGCTTACGATCGTTAACCACGTCGATTACACCGGAGAGACGATCGGTCATTTTCTTATTATTAGTTTTAGGAAACTCACTCTCAGGAGAAGAAGATGATGATGACAATCGTGGCTTGAAGACGCCATGACTGCCGGTTTCAATTCCGGCCGGCGACTTATGAGTGGCGGAGGACGATAAAGCTCCGATCGACCTCAAACGAGTCGCCATGGCGGTGAGATTGTGTGGGCTAATGGGCTTGGGCCTAATGGGCCCTGTTTATTTTCACAATCTTATTTGCCTATACTGCCGACTCTCAAAATTGTTAATACGTGGCCTACTCTAAATCACTACCATTTTTAAGACATTAATTTTTTATTTTATTTAATTACAAATATAACAATTATTTTACCCATTAGAAATTGTAAGAAACTAGGCTTTGATCTTTTTTATTTTAGGCTTTAATATTTTTCATTTTCTCTTTTTATTTTTTTACCAAGCACACTAAAAGCAAAAAAAAAAAAACTATATTACCAACAATTAAGAAGCTTTAAATTCGAAAATTGAATTTCGCGAAGTTATTATTTATTTATATTGGTATTGTTTCAAACGATTAAGAGTATTCTTCAGAGTTTATATGTCAATTTTGATGAAGATTTGAATTGATTCTTATTAGAATTTTATATTGAAATTCAAATAAATTAAAAAAAATACTGTTATTTTTTTTCTCTATATCCTAATAAGTAATATACATAAAATAAGATGTATGCATTTTACATTTAAGATGGATATTACAAAAGAAAAAGTGTGTGCAAATTATATTTACTCGGTAGTTTTGACCAAATTATATATATTTTGTGGGAAAATTCGGGCTACCTTTTATTTTAAATACAAATTTTATTGCTAATCGTATAGTATTTTATATATTTTGTATATTCAAACAATTCATTAGGATGCAAAACGCAAATAAGATTATCTGTTTCTACTAAAATGCAAAAAGGTTTCTTGTTAAACATGCCATATATATTACTTCATATGTTTTAATCTGTGCTTATTTTTAACTTATCTGGTTATGATAAATATTTTCTCAAAAAGAGTCCTTAAAAAAAAAATTAAATTTTTGATTTTGATGAGTTTTCATGTAATTTTTTTCTACTTACTTTTGTAAAAAGTAAAATACTTGAAAAACTTACCAAATGCAATATTTCTATATATTATTACCTCAGGTATATTATACTAAAAATTACTCGTATCTAAATTGATGATGAGTTTTCATGTAATTTTTTTCTACTTACTTTTGTAAAAAGTAAAATACTTGAAAAACTTACCAAATGCAATATTTCTATATATTATTACCTCAGGTATATTATACTAAAAATTACTCGTATCTAAATTGATAATTATTTATTTATTTTATATTAAATTATAAAAATTTACTATGCAATGTGTTAATAAATTTAATGAGGTGAAAATATATATCAATTAACCAGGATTTATTGTTAACCGTTTTTGGACAATTCATGTCATGAATATATTGATTTAGAACCTTTTTGGTATTGTTGTTGGGAGGCAAGACGTGCTTTTTTGAGATTTTTTTTTTTTGAAAAATTAAGTGTTTAACACACATCTTTAAATTACTTTTAAATGGAAACAAAAGTAGTTTGGGAAAAAACTAAAAAATTCTGCTTTTTTTTAAAAAGTAACAGAAGCAAAAAAATAATTTTTTGAAGACTAAAATATATCTTCCATATATACATATTTATTAATATATCCTTATAAATGAATTAGCATATCTCATAAGTTTGTTAAGTTTCATTCAAGAAATTTTATTTTATTTTTATATAATAATTTTTATTTTATTTTATGCTATATATTATTATTTTATATTTAATCTATTATTTTATGTTTTATTTTATAGAATTAGAAATAAAGGTAACAACAATATTTTCGCAGGATTAAAAATATGAAGGACTTAATTTATTTTTTTTGTGGTGAATTTTTTGTATATAGTGGTTTTATTTGTGTAATGATTTTTAAATTTATTTTTTGATATTTTTAATTATATTTAAATCATCATGTTAATATTATATTAATATTTAACTTATTTATTTATGTATAATAATGATTGAAGATGTACATTTTAATTAAAAATTTGTAATAGATATTTAAAATAGTTTCTCTCTATAAAATAATCTGAAAAAAACTGCTTATACTTAATTTAATTAACAATTAATATATATATATGTATATATATACACGACTTGATCTTGATAAAAAGAATTCGAATGAAAATAAATATTTAGCTCTATTTATTAAGTAAAATAAATATATAATATATTTTATAGAGATAATTAATACCGTACTTGATAGTTATTTATATCACTTATACATATACATGTAGACAGGGGCGGATCTATGAAGAGGTGTGGGGGTGCCACGCCACCCCCGAACTTCGACAGAAACTCTATATATATACAGGTGTGTGTATATATATATATAATATTTATATAAATATAAAGCGTGCCACCCAGAGAACAAAATTGGCTTGTGGTGCCACGGTAGGAGGGCAACTTTAGAAGGCTTATGTTGCGGGTTTGAATCCTATTTGTACCTATTTTTTTGAGAAATTTGCTGCAGGCGTTTTTTAAGAAAAAAAAAAGAGGCTCCAAGCACGTTTTTTTTAAAGGAAAAACAGGCACAATTTTTATTTTTATTTTTATAATTGTTATTGACTTAAATTAAATTAATTACATTATTACTCCTTTGACTTTTCTTTTATTTGATTAAATACTCAATAAAAGTGTAATATCTTATTATTTATATTTTATTGATGATATATATCGAAAAGACGAATAATTTAATCAAATATAAAATTAATTTAATCGATAAGTCTATTTGGCAGCCACAGACTCTAAATCCTGGATCCACCACTGGATGTAGAGTTTGTATCCTGAACTACAAATATATAAAAGAAGGAGAAATTTCACAAACAACTAATAAACTTAATTAGGCTCCTTAGCTATAGTTTGTATGCATATTTACGGGATGTACTATAGCTTACTCGTTTGTATAATTCACATTTTGTTTGTATAATTTATGGATACGTTTATATAATTTGCAGTTACGTTTGTATAATACACGTGTATTTGTATAATTGAATTATTTTCGTCCGTATTTATATAAGTATAATTATGTTGGTAGACTTTTGTACTTGTATATTCAATATAAGTAAAATATAGAAATATACAATTAGAATAACTATATACAATTATGGATTTATACAAATATGGGTACAACTGTAGATCTAATATTGAATCTATTTTTAGAGTAATACAAATTCTAGAACTATACAAATATGATAAAATTTGAAATAACGAATTTATACAAACACAACCATCTGAACTTTAAGCAGTTATACAAATTATATTATACAAATTACATTAAACAAAATTTATACAAATTATATTTTACATGTTTATACAAACTTCAAAAAATTATACAAAAAGAATTGAATGTATTTGTTGATAAAACTAAAAAATCAAAGAAAATCACTATTATATACTAATACAAACCGTCATATATAAATACAAATCAAACGAAAATTGTTAGTGACGAATTATACAAATGTAGCCAACTATACAAATTCGAACCGCAGTCCACGTAATTAATGCAAAATGTTAGTGGCAAATTATAAATTAGCTACACTATAAGTATATATATTAACTAATTAACTAGTATATATTTACTTATTCACATAATTTCTCTATAATAAAATTAGATAGATAATATATATCATACCAGTTATACATATAGAGTTTGTATCCTCAAGTACAAATAGTTAATTGAATACACATTTATCCAAGTTTAAAAGATTGAAAATGATATTAAATGATTTTTTTCTCATACTAATTATGATTGTAGATCCATAAAGACTTCACATGAAACATCCAACCTATTGTTGAAAAACAAATATCTATTGAAAAATATATCTTGTTTCCCAAATTCTGTGCAATTCATGGTTTCAAAAATAAAGATTCAAAGCTTACAAATAATGTTTTATTCTCTAAACTTGTTACATTTTTTTCTCCAATTCTTTCACATTCATCTTATACGCCAAATAGCTACTCTCCTTTTTTTATGAGTTAAAAATACAATTTATATTTCCCCTTATAAATATTCCGTGAAAATTTCACCGTTATTAGTACCCATGAAATTCTCTCCACCACTGAATTTCTGTTGATCTTTAGTATTTTCAAAATCACTCTATATCCCAAAATATAAACAATATTATTATTTTTGAAATATACTGGATTATTGAATGTAAATGTTATTTCCTAGTTATTTTCAACTTTGATTATATATATCACTGGTAGAACTATATGATGTTAGTCTTAACCAAGATCTTAATCATAATTGTTTAATTCTTTTAAAATATTTTTTATCTTTTTGTGAGAAATTTTAATTTTTAAATATATGTGTAATTGAATTGATATATAAAATATTCTACATTAAATAAGGATGTCTTAATAATTCGAGTTATTTTTTGTTTTTTATATAATAATTATTTTTAGTGTAGTATTTTAAAAAAATAAAGAAGTGTTTAACTTCACACAATAATATTTTTATTTATAAAAGTAAGGACTAATTCTATTTCATAAGATGCTATCCATTTATTTATAATACATTACCTTAGATTTTAATATAAATTTTTTTATTTATTAATATGAAGTTTAGGTTGTTTAACTCAAAATACTAAGATATTTTTTTTTTAAAATGAGGACATAAAATAAACGTTTTACTAGCTTAATCCGGCCATCCCTATTAGTAGAGATATAATATGAAAAACTTCCATAACAATATTATATATAAATGTTGTTAATATATAATAACAAATTAACAATAATACTGAATATATAACACATGGCCCAATGTGCCAAAATATAATTTTTTATATTTTCCACTATTTAATATTTATGATTTAATACGAATAGAACAATAATAGGAAAAGTTTGTAATTTTTATTTGTAAGGTTTTTTTTTTTTTTTTGGTAACTGAAAGCTTTATTACTAGATATATCAATATGTATAAAGTGTTATGAAATTCTGGATATGGACATAGTCCCAATCTCAGAGTTCGTGCTACTACCCTTACCACTAAACTACTATTCTATGGATAATAATTGAAGTTACGAATGAATTCAGCCAGCTTCGGTTGCATACTGCTTCTCAGTGGATTTCTTGAATGATGCTCCTGGTGATCATCTCTGTGGTTCTTTCTTTCTTTTGGAAAATTCTGTAATTTCTCTCTTGCCAGACATAGTATACTGCTGCTGCTGCGAGTGTCATCCTATATACCTCATCTTGAATTGCTTTTCTTGTGGCATGTGAAATAGCCCAATCCATTTCTTCTGTCCACCCTGCTGTGTTTCTGATAATGCACAACCACTGTAATAACTTAGGCCATATCCTAGCAGCCATAGTGCATGAGAAAAAAAGATGTTGGTGTGTCTCTAGCTCTTGCTTACACAGTGCACATACTTGATCCGTGTGTATCTCCCATTTATCCAACCTATCCATGGTATATAACCTCCTATGTATGGCCAAGTAGAGTATGAAGATGCATTTTGGATTCCCTTGATTATTGCATGTCAACCTTCTCCATGGCACCTTGATGAAATCCCCCCTAAGCTTCTTATACATACTTTTAATGGTGAAATCATCTGCATCCATGATTTCTGTCATTGGTATTCCTACCTCAGAAATCCAATGACTTGCTTGTATGATCTTTTTCACCATCCAAGAAGCTTGTTGCCCTGCTACTTCCCATGGTCTCCTGCCTTTAATATAGTATGTATGGACCTAAACAATCCATAACTTGTCCTTTTTTGTGCAAGATTTCACAGGTGTTTGAGTATAGCTGCTTTGTTCCATATATATACATCAGTTATATTTAAACCACCAGCAACCTTAGGCCAACATAATGTGTCCCATGCAATGAGTGCTTTTCCTTTGCTTTGTGCATCTCCTTTCCATAAAAATCTCTTACACAATGTTTCTATTGTTTGTAAGATTTTTTTAGGAATGAGAAAGATCTGTGACCAAAAAGCTTGGATTGATGTTAAGACACTTTGTACCAACTGGAGCCTTCCTACATATGAAAGAAACTTTACTGTCCATGTGTTGATCCTCCCTACCATCTTATCTATTAAAGGTTGGCATTGGCTAATAGATAGCTTCTTTGAACTGAGTGGCACCCCAAGATACTTGAAAGGGAGAGCTCCTTTGGTGAAACCTGTGTGTTGCAGTATCTGTTGTTGAATTGGTTCTGGGACTCCACCAAAGTACACACAACTTTGTTTTGGAGAATTGTTGGAAACATTCAAATATAAGTGTAGTTGATGGTCTGTCTCCTCTGCTAAATAAGAGAAGATCATCTGCAAAGCTCAGCTGAATTATTTATTGTTTTTGACATCTCAGATGAAATTTAAAAGCATTTTTGTTCCTCAATGATCTCAATAGTCTTGTAAGATAATCCATAGCCAGAACAAATAGGTAAGGGGATAAGGATCCCCTTGCCTTACCCCTCTCCTTGCCTGAAATGGAACATTGGGGCATCCATTAATCATAATTGAGTAAGAGACTATCCTGACACACTTCATAATCCATGTAAGGATTAATTAACTAGATATTTAATTTTAAAATTCTATCTCTCTATTAATAATTTACCGCATTAGAAATTATTAAAAGTATCTTTTAATGTATATTATGTTAATCTATTTATTTTATCAACTCCAAGGGTAAAAAAAGAAATCAGCGGTAATAATTGTCCAACTCTTAAAATTGTTATTATGTGGCCTACTTTAAATCACTGACAGTTAACGATATTTAAATTTATTTGGACCTCTTTCTCATCCAATTATAGATTTTTTTGGATTTTAATATGGATATAAGCCACTTTTAAGACGTAATTTTCAATTTTATTTAATTACTAAATATTATTATATTTTACCAATTAAGAATAATAGTATGAGATTAGACTTCAATTTTCCTCATTGTAGGCTTTAATTTTCTTTGACTAAATGCAATATTCCTATATACTACTATGTTGTAGTAAAAACTTGGACCTAAATTGATAAAAAAAATTTACATTAAATCATATAAATTTTCTATACAACGTGTTAATAAATTTAATAAGGTGAGAATATATAATAATTAATCACGATAAGTGTTCATGATATATGGACAATTCATGTCATGAATCTATGGATTCTATATAAATATCAGAATAAGTTTTTATTCACAATATTATACATCAAATTAATAGACATATAATATATAATATGTATTTGTAAATCAACTCTTATAAGTTATACATAATTTAATTAATATACATTTATAACTAACTATCAAATACTTTATCAGTAATATTACATAAATTACACTGAATATATTATCGACGTCTTCATCACCTTATTTCATAGACGAAAGAGGACCTTTTCCTTTTGGCAAAGTACACCACTAATTTCAGCAATGGAAAATATCTCAAAGCCAAAGATTATGATTTGTCTATGACTTCTTTCACCTAAAGTCTCTCTCAGAGACCCATGCTATATTTGTGAAGGCTATCAAATTTCACGTGACGCAATTATTATTATATATGAAGTAAATAAATAATTTTTTAATTATATTTTGAAAAATATTTAAAATTGTTAATTATCATAACTTATTATTATTATTATTTTTAATGCAATTTTTAAATGTATAAATGTGTTTTCAAAAAGATTGACATTTTATATAAAAATTTGCACCAAAAAAATAAACAATTTGATCATTATATACCAAATTATATCATATCAAGCTAAATAGAGGGAAAAATAATTAGAAATGGAAGCACCTATGTAATCTAGTGACTAATAAAATAGATTGAAAATCACAAGATTTTATATTCAAATTCTAACAGAAGCAAAAATATTAGTTATTTTTTTCTATTTTACAAAATATTAATAGATGGAATTAATTATACCTATATTGATAGGTAATAGAATCTCACAAAATTAATCGAGATATCAGAGCATACAAACTATTAAAAAGAGTAATGGAAATTGGACATTTGAATGACAACTGACAAGTATGGTAAAGGTTGTTATCAATAATGGAGGGGTCCAAAGATCCGCTTACAAATACACATAAATTCATAAACTTCAAATTATAATTCATCTTTCATAAGTTTTGATTTGCTAAAAGCGAATGCAGAGTATTAATATCAGATTCATCAAAATCCATTATTTTCATAAATTGAAGCATAAAAATTCATACAAATTATTATAAGTATAGTAACTATAAAACTTAGAACTTAAAAAAACCCTCGATTTAATATTATTAAAACCATAAAACTTAAATTCTAGATCCGGTCATATAACTTACCCCTATATAAAGTGGCCACACTTGGCCAATAACTTTCCCACAATAAATACATGACATCCCTATAGCTAAAAGAAATAAAACATATTAGTTTCCAAAAAACAAGGCCCAAAAAAAGTGTAGAAACTATGGTGAATGCAAATGGGGAATCAAGCAACAACAATAATAATGCAAGATTAGCTATAATGGAATTAGCTAACATGATAAGTGTACCTATGTCCCTTAATGCCGTTGTTAAACTTAAGGTAGCTGATGCTATTTGGCAAAATGGATCAAATGCTCCACTCTCTCCTGTTGAAATTCTCGCTAAAATCCGCGGCCCTCAGGGTGGCGGGGATGCTGAGAACCTTCAACGAATTCTACGTATGCTCACAAGCTACAATGTGTTCAAGGAGCATGTTGTTGATGATGGCTCTCAAAGAAGGTATTTTTTAACGCTAATATTTTATATGATGTTTTGTTAGTGACGGATTTAAGATCTAAAATTAGTACATATGTATGGTACTTTTCTTCCAATTGCTTGGGAGAAAAAGAAAAGGTTAATTTTTATATTATTAATAAAATAATCAAGAACCTAAGAAAAGTTATGTATTAAACTTGATATAATGCTAATTTAATTTGTTTTAATTTGTTAGGCCTAGTATTGTTCATCTTCTTAATTAATCGAAGAAAGTCGATGCATAAATTTCTAATATGAGGTTCATTATTTTCCTTAATAGATGTGATTTTTCTGGTCCACACACTATATATCTATGTATTGGGCAATTGTCAGTGGAGTAACGTGATTGGTACGACATAAGTTATTTTTTATTAAAAACAATAATAGATTTCCATTGTGTTTCAACAATGTAATTTATATCCCATTCAACGATAATTTATATAGTCGATCCAAATTCATTATTCAGACATAGTTATGGTTCGTTGTATACAGATATTCGTTGACTGAGGTGGGAAAAACCCTAGTCACGGACGAGAATGGCTTATCTCATGGCTCGTACGTGCTCCAGCACCATCAGGACGCGTTAATGAGGGCGTGGACGATGGTTCATGAGGCCGTTAATGATTCATCGATAGAGCCATTTGTGAAGGCAAATGGTGAGCCAGCTTACAATTACTATGGAAAAAACCCAGAGATGAGTAGCCTTATGTTAAATGCAATGTCTGGAGTTTCTGTGCCATTTATGAAGGCAATTTTAGAGGGATATGATGGGTTTCAAGGTGTGAAAACACTAGTTGATGTTGGAGGAAGTGGTGGAGATTGCTTGAAGATGATTTTAGAAAAAAATACAAATATTGAACTTGGAATTAACTTTGATTTGCCTGAGGTGGTTGAAAAAGCCCCACAAATTCCTAGTAAGTTTCATTCTTTTATCTAACTATAATATCATATTCAATATAATTTCAGAATCTAGAAAAGGTAGTATGTACGGACTACGAACTCTTACTCATACTCATTTGTTCCTCTTTAGTTGTCATGCTGTGTTTTTCCAGAGTCAGTTTAACTAATTTTCAAAGTTAAATTAGATTACATTAATTTTTTTTTTAATATTCATAAACTATACAAAAATTACTACATAATTGCATTTTTTCCCACATCAACATGATAAAAAAAAATACATCTTAAAATGTAAGTCAAAGTTCATATTATTTAACTCTAAAAAAAATTATGAGAGCTAAAGAGGAACACTTTGTACTCTTAATTAAGTTACAATTCAATTAGTGTTTTTTGCAAATTGAATTGTTTTAAAATGTTTTGATATTTGCAATATGTGGCTATTATATGATAGTAGGGCCAAATTTAAGATAAGTTTTTGGCGTGTAGGTATTAAACACGTTGGTGGTGATATGTTTGATTACATACCAAAGGGGGATGCTATTTACATGAAGGTAATTGTCAAATCTATTTTGTTTCTACTTTAAATTATTGAACTAGATATGTGTCTAAGTATCTACCACATGAAAGAAGTAGTTGGGTTATGTTGATTTCAGATATTATGTATTTTGTTTGAACATTAATTGGCAATAGGAGTTTCGAATTGTAGACCACACCTTTTTTTTCTCTAATTTGTTTTCTTTTCCATGGACAAGACCTAAGGTAGTAGGGTAAGTGCATCATACAAATCAGTTCCCTTTTTGTATGAACGATCTTTAAATTATAAATATTTTTTTTCTTTTCCAAGAAGAAAAAAAAGTAAGTGAGAAAATGACAAACATAATTCTTTATGTTTGGGGCTAAGATTAAATCAAAAGTATAGTTTAGTTTGATTTATTTATAATAAATGTCTTTTAATTTGGGTTTGCTTTACATTTATGTTCTCTAATTTTGGGTGTGCACATGTCAACACTTAAACTTGTATAAACTTGAACAACTAGACACATGAGTTCTACATGACATACACGTTGGACACAATGTAGGACACAAATTGCCATGTAGGATGCCACATAGGATATGTGTGTTTATTAGTTCAACTTTATATACGTTTAAATGTCTATTTGTGCACTTTCAAAATTGAAGGCATAAATATCAGCTAAAGTATTTTGACAAAATCAATATGCTAGTACTAGTATAAATGTTTTAGTGAAATGTTAATAACATGTTTATAATCACAAGTTTCGAAACTTAACATAATTTGTGACATGGATACATGTAGTGGGTGCTAACAACATGGACAGATGATGAATGCAAAGAAATAATGAAGAGTTGTTACAATGCACTTCCAGAGAAAGGTAAATTTATTGCTTGTGAGCCAGTTTTGCCTCACCATACTGATGATAGCAAGAGAACTAGGGCACTTCTTGAAGGTGACATTTTTGTCATGACTATTTACCGTGCCAAGGGCAAGCACCGTACTGAGGAAGAATATCGGCAGCTCGGACGAGCTGCCGGTTTCAATGATTGCAAGGGTTTTTACATCGATCATTTTTTTACGATTCTTGAATTTCACAAGTCGTCATGAATATAATTGTGAGATGTTAGTGGTACGAACGTAGTTCTGATTTAACATTAAAATAAATGTACGGTATTGTAGTTGTAAAATAGAACTACGTTTTCTACTTTATATGAGGATGGAAGATTGGAGTCTTTTATTTATCGATGGAAAAACTTTGAGAAAGGAGTAGCACGATTTGGAGTGAATATTACTTTTATCTATTTATTATTTATATAAGAAAAGAGTAGGAAAATATCTTTAATTTTTCTAACATACAAATTCATATTGTCAATTCAACGGTATTTTGTAAAAAAAATTTCACTAAACTAAGCAAAAAGCAGAATCAAAACATAACCTATTTGTTCTAACCAAATAAGTAAAAATAAAAATAAAACAGTAACAAAACATTGAAAAGCCTAAAGCAAAACTCTATATTGTGCACCTATGATCCATCCATCCATCCTATTCAAAATGTTGCTCTTTAAATAAGACATAAATGAATTACTACAATTTTTCATTGTCTTTTTTAAAAAATAAATAAATAATTAATATATATTTCAATTTATTTGTCTTAATTTGATTTGATATGCAATTTTAAGACTGTAAAGAGTTTTTTAAAATTTTACAGTCTTAAAGTCTTAAACTAAGAATATATAATGAATTATTTTTTAAAAAAAAATTATGATCTTAAATATCATCTAATCAGATAATAAATTTAAAGGACTATTAGATTGAAAATAAATATTTTTTAAAAAAATAGATTTAAAATAATTAAAGCTAGACGGAAAAAAAAATCAAGAAAGAGTGTATATATCTATCACGTGAAAGACAGATGATTTGTTGCTTTCAAATAGTATGGATTTTGTTTGACTTGAGTCCCTACTGATTTTAAACATTGATCATGGAGGGACAATTTTGGCAATTACTTTTTGAATTGTAGACCACACCTTCTTTTTTTTGTTTTTCTGTCCGGAATCCACATTGAAGCTCTGATTAAATTTGAATCGTGCACTGTAAGGTCCATTTGGTGATGAAGGTTCCAATATGATTTTTTTCCCATATTCATGACTTGAATATGAGACTTTTGATTAAGGGTGAAATAATCCCACCATTGTACCACAATCCATGTCGGTAGACCACACCTTTCTAATATGCAATTTCTCATATTTTCTTGTATGTTCGATTGGAGGAAAACTATGTAAAAAAATGATTTAGTTGAAAATATAATTAGAAAAGTTCATTATATCTTAGAAATTGCAACACAAAAATATTTATCTTTATGGATTAAGTAAAATAAACATATATTGTTTATTATAGAGGTAATTAATAGCGTACTTTGTAGTTAGTTATAGATACACATTAATTTAAAGTTAAAATTATGTAAATTAAGTGCACAAAGTTTGTATCTTGTAAGAGTCATCTAGGTATAAAGTTTGTATTGTCATAGGAGTAACAAAAATAAATCTTTGACTATATAATTTTTTTAAATACTTTAAATTGTTAATTATTATGACTTATTTCTTTTTTCTTCAATGTAACTTTTAAATGTAGAAATATGTTTTTTAAGAAATTGGCATTTTATATATGAATTTATACAAAAAATTAAATAGTTTTGATCTTAATATGCTGAATTATATCTGATCAAGTTAAATAGAGGGAAAATAATTAGTAATGGAAGCACATATGTATAGCCTAGTGATTAGTAAAATAGATTGAAAATTATGAGATTTTCTATTAAAATTTTATCAGAAGCAAGAATACTAGGTATTTTTTCCTATTTTCAGAATCTTGATGGATAAAATTATACATTTATTGAGGATAGGTCACGAAATCTCATAAAATTAATCGAAGTACAAGCAAACTAGACAATAATACACTACGACTATTAAAATCATAGTGGAAATAGGACATTTGAATGACAAGTATGCTAAAGGTAATTGCTATCAATACATGGGATGATTTGAAGACCCGACGTAAATTCATAAGTTTCAAATTCTAAGTTTATCTAAACTTAGCTTTACAAAAGATTTAATACTAAAACCACAAATATTAAATCTATAAAAACTTTTAAATTTTGAATCTGGTCATACAACTTGGCACTTGCCCTATAAAGTAACAACATGGCCAATAAAGTTCTTACAATAAATACAACTTTGTCCCTAGCTTTTTTTGTTTCCCACCTGGTGTTCGGAGTCCACATTGAAACTTAGATTAAATTCGAATCGCACACTGCAGGTGGGTGGCGCTCCCAACAAAATTTTCTCCATACCCAGGACTCAAACCCAAGAACTTTGATTAAAGGTGAAACACTCCCACATGCACTACAAACCCATGTTGGTTACTTGACCCTAGCTATAAAGTAACAACACTTGGCCAATAAAGTTTTTTTTTTACTATAAATACATGGCATCCCTATAACTAAACAATATAACATATAGTTCCCAAAAAAAATAAGGCAAAAAAAAAGTGTAGAAGCCATGGAGAATGGAAATGGGGAAACAAGCAACAACAACAACAATAATGCAAGGTTAGCTATAATGGAATTAGCTAACATGATAAGTGTACCTATGTCCCTCAATGCCATTATCAAACTCAAGGTAGCTGATGCTATTTGGGAAGGTGGATCTAATGCTCCGCTCTCTCCCGCTGAAATTCTCGCTAAAATCCGTCCTCAGGGTGGCGGGGATGCTGAGAACCTTCAACGGATTCTACGCATGCTCACGAGCTATCGTGTGTTCGAGGAGCATGTAGTCGATGACGGCTCTCAAAGAAGGTACTTTAAAAAACTAACACTCTGTTTGAATGGTTGTTAAGTATTGCTTCATAATGCATATATTGTATTGTATCTTTTTAATAAATACAACGTTTGGATTGATTATGTCGTTCTCCGTCATTAAGAATGTCAGACATCGAATTTGAGTGATAAATCTACTAGAAAAGTAAGGTATGAGGTAATGCTACTATGAAAAGGTAGGGTAAAAGATAAAATAAAATTATTAAATACTCAAATAAAGACAAAAAGAAAAAAAATATTAAGGTTATGATGTAATCACACTATGGTTCCTAGTCCACACACTAGATATCTATATATGTTGGCAATTGCTAATGGAATCCAAAAGTAGAAACATGTTTGGTACGACAAAAGTTATTTTTGAGGCATAATTATTGTTTGTTGTATACAGCTATTCGTTGACTGAGGTGGGAAAAACCCTAGTCACGGACGAGAATGGCTTATCTCATGGCTTGTACGTGCTCCAACACCATCAGGACGAGTTAATGAGGGTGTGGACGATGGTTCATGAGACCGTTAATGATTCATCGTCTGATCCATTTGTGAAAGTATATGGTGAACGACCTTATAGTTACTATGGAAAAAACCCAGAGATGAATAGCCTTATGTTTAATGCAATGTCTGGAGTTTCTATGCCATTTATGAAGGCAATGTTAGAGAGATATGATGGATTTGAAGGTGTGAAAACACTTGTTGATGTTGGTGGAAGTGTTGGAGATTGCTTGAAGATGATTTTAGAAAAACATTCAAGTATTGAACTTGGAATCAACTTTGATTTGCCTAAGGTGGTTGAAAAAGCCCCACAAATTCCTCGTAAGTTTTGATCTTCTATTTTATTTAACTTTATTTAGTATATTTGAGATGCAATAATAACTTACATTAACAATTTCATAGGGAAGATTTGAAAAGGTAGTGTATACACAATATTTTACTCCTATTTTGTGAAGGTAGAGAGGTTGTTTTCCTCGACCTAAGTATAACACTTTCATATATTTGAGAGACATACTACATAAATATGCTCTTTAACTGGTTTCAGTTGACATTTATGTTATTCAACTTTAGGTGTATACAAGTAGACAATTAAACTTGTATAGAATTGAACAAGTAGACACACACATTCGTCGTCTTATGTGACATAATACACATAAAACGTCATGTATAACACAAATTGTGATGTCACGTAAGACGCATGTGTCTATTTGTGCACACAGAAACGAATGTTGAGATCTAGTCTTCCATCCGTTTAATTAATTGCAATATAAATATACGTGTGGCTAAATATGATGGTAGGGGTAGGGCCAATTTAAGATAAGTTTTTGGAGTACGTGCAGGTATAAAACACGTTGGTGGTGACATGCTCGATTACATACCAAAGGGCGATGCTATTTTCATGAAGGTAATTGACAAATATATTTTGTTTCTACTTTAAATTATTGAACTAGATATAGACAAATATATCACGTGAAAGAAGTAGACGAATGTTAGATATTTTGTAATATATCGAGGTTTAAATTGAACAGACATATCTGTTCATGAAAAAAACATGAATTTTAAAAGATTTACTGACTCTATATTTTGGTTTGCGACATGAATTGCATGTAGTGGATACTAGTAATATTTACAGATGATGAATGCAAGCAAATAATGAAAAGTTGTTACAATGCACTTCCAGAGAAAGGCAAATTTATTATTTGTGATCCAGTTTTGCCTCACCATACTGATGATAGCAAGAGAACTAGAGCCCTTCTTGAAAGTGACATTTATGTCATGGCTATTTATCGTGCCCAAGGCAAGCACCGCACTGAGGAAGAATACCGGCAGCTCGGTCGAGCTGCCGGTTTCACTGACTGCAAGGGTGTCTACATCGATCATTTCTTCACGATTCTTGAATTTTACAAGTAATGAATATAATTGTGAGTGGTACGAACGTACGTAGTTACGTTCTATGTGCTAATTATATGTTTCACATTAATAATAAACATGTGTGGTGTTGTTGTTGTACGTAGTTACTCTTTCAAAATACGTTTGATCCAATAATATCTCTCTCTATGCTCGTTCAAACATGGTGAGGGTTGTCTAAGTATGAAATCGAAGAGTAGTAGAAGAAGAAGAAGAGTGGTCTCCACCATCGATCTCTCGTATGATATTTGTATTAGTAGTATCTCATCTGAATCCCAAATCTTTTGTTGCTTATTGAATTTCAATTCAGGCGAGGACGAGAAAGGGAGGGAGGGGGGGGGGGGCGAGACTCGAGAGGCTAGTGAGAGTTTGAGAGAGAAAAGATATTTACTATAAAACTCCAAGTCTAATGATATAATGTAATTCTTTTAAATTATAATTATGTATAGTAAATACATAACACATGTTTATCTTACTATTTAAGCTTTTCATTAAAAATAACCTCGTATTTAAAATATGAGCGTATATTAACCAAATAAATATCCTCCTATTTATATCTCTCTTTTCTATTCCAAAACCTCTCCCCTGTCACTAACAACTTGCCTTCATTAATTTGAAGAAACGGTAGATTAAATGGGTTGGTAGATTTGAATTTAAGAAGTAGATGTATTTATTTTTTAAATTATGTAATATATTGATCAATTATAATATGTCACGTGACTATTTAAACTATAAAAAAGTCATTAAGTTTAAAATATTAGTTGAAAAATATTTGCAAATCCATAAATCCAAAAATAAATAAATAACATATATGATCCTTTTTTTATACATTAAAAATACTTTTAATCTTTTTCCATTAAAATAATTAAATGAACCAAAATAATAATAAAAGTATCATAGAAATGAGATGTGTGATGTGGAGCAAAGGAAGTGCCAATGGCATATCCTTTGGAAGATCCCATCCAATCCCAATATTCCATTTCACTCTTTTCTCCTACTTACTTTTTGGTCTAACTTTACCCAAAAGTGACAATACACTACTTGCTCAAGTCACCCCACTTTTTTTATTTGATATCACTTTTCGATGATGTTCGATATTTATTTTAAAACTTAATTATTAATAGTTTATATTTGTGTTGAAAAGTTTTATTTTTGTGAGTCAAAATATTTTTTATCAAGGATGATTTCGTTTTCAGAGTTTGAATGCGAGATATTTAATTAACTTGTTTGTATAGAAATTCATCACATTGTTCATAAGGATGAAACTAGAGGACTGATTACGAATTCAATAAAATTCAGTAATTTTTAATTAAATTTTGTATTTTTATTAAGAAATTACTTATAATTTTTTCCAAAAAAGCATTCTGAATTTTTAAAAAATTCAGAACATCTAAACTCAAATTTCTAAATCTGCTTCGCTATTACAAAACATAAAGCATTATTTTTTTATTGTCATCATGATCTAGGACAAAAGAACCAAGTGGCCACTATTATAAACACTATGCCAAGCCTTCTAAAACAAACCCTCTCTCCCCTTTCATGTGAGGCTTCCTTTGCATGGTTTTCCTAGTGGGCAACCACCCTTTTGCCACCAACTTTTTGGGCAAAAGGGTGGCGGCGGAAGAGGTGGCTCTCGTCGTTGATTCACCGGAGATGGTGGCTTCCTTCTTGGAATTATTGTCCATTGATAAATTCTCTTGGTGTTTTTTTTTTTTGTTGGAAAGGGCAACTTCTATCCTTTGGCATTTTAATGGAGGAAATGGTTAATGAAAAAGAAGAGCAATCTCAAGGAAAAGGCAGATTATTCATGTTAATCCTATCGATCTCTACTTAATTACTAGTCCTTAATATGAGTTATTGAGTTTTAATTATTACAATGAATATTGTTATGTGTTTGTGATCTATTTTAGTTATATGATCATGTTTGTGTACTAGGCCTCTTGGCCCATATAAAAAGAGTATTGTGTTTGTATTATAATGTTTGAGACTTCTTATGGTATCATATCATTATGTTATTTCAATTATTGATGAATTTTGATTGTGGTCCTAGCAAACTAAAATGTAAAGTTTATTCTTTTTGTGATATTCAGATTAATTAGGACTGGATTATATTACTATCACTAGATAATGTTGTCCGTGCTATGCACGGGCCCAATAATATAAATGGTATATTCTGGGGCTAATAACCAAGTTTTTGAAGCGATTGTTTGCGCGGATAAAGGAATAAGTTTTTTTATCATAAACCTGTACTTTCTTTGACGCTATTTAAGGCATAATAAGACTACCCACATACAACATTTTTGAAATATTTTTATGTTGTCAATTATCATGATTTATAGCATTTTTACGATAGATTCACTTCAAGAATCAGTAGAATTTTTTGTATTTTTTTTCAAAACATATTTTATGTTGTCAATTATTATGATTTATAGTATTTTTACGCAATTTTTAAATATAAAAAAAAAATAAGACAAATAAATTAAAATGGACCCAATATATGTTATTTTTGTTGTCTCAATTTATGTGACACAAATGAAATTTGGATAATCATCCAAATTTTCATATTTTTAAAAAAAATGTTTGAAGTTATTAATTATTGTGATTTATAATATTTTTTATGTAACTTTGAAATAATGTACATTACTGGTCACTTTGTCCTAATTTATGTGATATGGATAAAATTACAAAATTAACCCTTTTAAAATGTCTTTCAGATATTTTAAGTTGTTAGTTATTATTATTTATAATACTTTTTTGGTAATATTAAAATGATATCTGTTATTTTATCTGTCCCAATATATGTGAGCCTGATAGAATTCTGAGAGTCAGCCTATGTTATTATATATCTTTTAAATATTTTAAATTGGTAATTATTGTAATTTTAATGCTTTTTAAGTCATTTGTAAATGATATATGTTGCTTCCTTGATTGGGATTTTTCCATTTGTGAGATATATATATATACATATCGTGCTATGCACGGGCCCAATAATATAAATGGTATGTTTTGGGGCTAATAACCGAGTTTTTGAAGCGATTGTTTGCGTGGATAAAGGAATAAGTTTTTTTTATCACAAACCTGTACTTTCTTTGACGCTATTTAAGGCATAATAAGACTACCCACATGCAACATTTTTGAAATATTTTATGTTGTCAATTATCATAATTTATAGTATTTTTACGATAGATTCACTTCAAGAATCAATGGAATTTTTTGTATTTTTTTTTCAAAACATATTTTATGTTGTCAATTATCATGATTTATAGTATTTTTACACAATTTTTAAATATAAAAAAAAAATAAGACAAATAAATTAAAATGGACCCAATATATGTTATTTTTGTTGTCTCAATTTATGTGACACAAATGAAATTTGGAGAGTCATCCAAATTTTCATATTTTTTTTAAAAATGTTTGAAGTTATTAATTGTTGTGATTTATAATATTTTTTATGTAACTTTGAAATAATGTACATTACTGGTCACTTTGTCCTAATTTATGTGATATGGATAAAATTACAAAATTAACCCTTTTAAAATGTCTTTCAGATATTTTAAGTTGTTAATTATTATTATTTATAATACTTTTTGGTAATATTAAAATGATATGTGTTATTTTTTCTGTCCCAATATATGTGAACCTGATAGAATTCTGAGAGTCAACCTATTTTATTATATAGCTTTTAAATATTTTAAAGCTTTTTAAGTCATTTGTAAATGATATATGTTGCTTCCTTGATTGGGACTTTTCCATTTGTGAGATATATAATATATAATATTCAAGATTGGGAAAAGTCTCAATCTTGAATATTATATATTATACTTGGGCCTAAACTCTATTATATATTATAAAAAAAATACTTGGGTATAAAATAGAATTTTAAAAGTCCCACAAGTATAATATATAATATTCAAGATTGGGAAAGTCCCAATCTTGAATATTATATATTATACTTGGGCCTAAACTCTCTTTTATAATATAGTAGAATAGAAAATAGAATAGAAAAAAGTAGAATATTTGGGTATAAAATAGAATTTTAAAAGTCCCACAAGTATAATATATATTATTCAAGATTGGGAAAAGTCTCAATCTTGAATATTATATATTATACTTGGGCCTAAACTCTCTTTTATAATATAGTAGAAAATATAAAGTAACTATATAAGTTAATAAATTTGTGTATCATGGTCAAAGTTAGCGTGTACAAAACCGAATCGAAAACCGAATCAAACCGCAAATCGAGTCAAACCAAAAAAAAATCCGACTAGTGGTTTGGTTTGACTTGGTTTGGTATTGAGAAAAAAATCCGACTATATTTGGGTTTGTTTGGTTTTAACTAAAAAAAAGCAGCCCAAGACCAAACCAACCCGACATTATATATGTAATTTTAAAATTTTATTTTATACATAAAAATATTTACTTTGATATAATTTTAAAATATTTCTTATAGTATTTCATAGTTTTTATCTTTTAATATATTATTTTAAGTTTAAAACTTAGAATTCGGAATGGTCCAATAAAGATTATAGTTCATAGATGTTGATAACTACAATAAAACTTAAATCAAAATCAAATTAATACTAATGCAAAAAGAAAATCAATTCAACACTAAGAATGACAATAATATTGAATATTTGTTCTTTAGTTTTACATTGGATTAGACAATTAAAATACATAATCTAAATTTAATTTTCCTTAAATATTTAGTAATGTAACTAATACTTATTAAACTTATTTTAGCATGATTTAGTACTTTTAAATTATAATCATTTTCATTATGACTTTACAATATTTATTTTATATGATGATTTCATTATTATTTTTTATTGAATATTTTTGTGTCATCAATACTCATCTCATATTTTGTGTTATTTTTTTAAGAAACACCTTAGATAATTGTATTTTGGTTGGACTAAAGAAATATTTGGAGCACAAGTTAATTATATGTTTGTATGCAAACTTTACCGAAAAAATTCGAGGTTTATTAGTTTTGTTTGATTTATAAATTTTAAAATTCAACACAATGGTTTGGTTTGGTATTTGAAAAACCCAAACCAACCCGAGGTTGAAAAACCCGAAAAAATCCAAATTTTATTAGTTTG